TGAAAGTAATAACATGCAAAGTAACATACAAGTAGTTGAAGGACAGAGATAGCACTTGTGTTAGGATTTCACTCATACAGTCATTCAACAAACATTTATCGAGCACTGCTTTGGTCAAGACTCTGTGTTATGGAATGATACAAAAGGAGGCAGTAGATTATAAGCTCAGGTGTAGGGTTGAACCCTGGTTTCTCTACTTATGAGCTGTCTGTGACTGGGGCAGTTTACCAAAGCCTCTTCACCCACTTTCCCTCTCCCACTTGCTGCCCAAGTCAGACAGATCTGGTATGAACTCTAGCACTACCACTTACCCCTCTGATTTTTAAGCAAATTGCTTGTCCTCTAAGCCTCATTTTTCTCATTTGGAAAATTGAGAAACTAATAATATTTCCTTGTTTTGTTGTGAGGGTGAAATGAGATGATGTATATGAAGTGCCTGGCACACAGTAAGACCTCACTAAATGACAGCTGCTGTCATTGTTCCACCTCCACCACTATAGTCCTGCCCTTAGAGAGCCGGTAACCTACTGGGAGACACAACATGTAGTAGCACAAGGCAGTGTATGTTCAATTGTTGTGCTGGAGATGCAGGCATAATGTAGCGGAGCACAGAGCAGGAGAGCCATTCATTCTGTCTGTAGGACTCTGGGAAAGCTGCTATGGAGGGAGCTTTGGCGTGGATCTTAACAGGATTTCAATAGGTGGCACAGGGTGGTTTGCCACTTTCCAGGTAGATTGAAGCCTGTGAGCAGAGGCTGAAAACTTGCAGGGCATATTTGGAATGGTTTGGGGCCAGAAGGTAGAGGCATCCAGTGCCATGTCAGGGAGTATGAACTTGGTCTGTGGGCATATCTGTGTATTTGCAATCCCAAACTTCAATTCCCCTTCTTTTTTCTTTTTAGAAGCTTTGAACTTCAGGTTGGCGCTTTAAATAACCTGGAGCAGAGGGAAGAGAATTCAGTAGTCATTAGAGATTAGTGAAAACCCACCAACCTCTAAATTCACCCCAGCTTTAGTGAATAGATTTCTTGCTAACCTGAGATGAGGAGTTTTTGGATGAGACATCCACGAATAAGCCTGTACGTTGTCTGTCTGGAAATAAATGAACAGTGTTATCATTTATAAAGTACTCACCTACTTTGAGTGCTTTGCTGCCAGGCTCCTTAGAGGGACCTTTCCCAGCAGGGCCAGTTGTGGGTGCGTATTTGAGTGAGTAGAGGATTAGGAAACCTTCAGTCCGGAATCACGGCTGTGTTGTTTTGCCTGATTCTTTTGCTTTTGGCTTGCTGCAGGCTGTTGTTTCTTCTCATTCTTTCCTCTCTTTCCTCATCTTTCTAGACCTTCTCCTTTACTCTCTGCACTTCAGCTTCTTTAACTTTTCATTGTGTGAATTGCCTATAATTCCTTCCACTTCCCCAAGGCTTTACAGCAGCAAAGGAAACCCAGGGCCCACCTGCCTTTGTGACAGATTTGAGTATTGAAAAATAAGGCAGTTCCAGGTGCAATTGATGCCCTTCAAGAGAAGAAACTATATACTTGCCCCCTTTAAGTCAATTTCAACCAAGGAAAATGTTTCATGATTTTTTTCCCCATGATTATTTTCTCCCCAAATGTGGGAATGGGGAGTTTTCTGGGGTTGTCCTTTCCTTTCAGTTAGTTGTAAGGTATGTGGGGCCCCACGTGGACAAATGTTCTGCAAAAATAGAAAAATTAAGCTAACTGCATTTTCTCAGAATCTACCAAGTTACTAGATTTGAATTCTTTAGAAGCCAATAATCCAGAAATCCTGAACACTCATTTAAAGGAAAAATAATTGAGTTTCTTGCATTATTTTGTCTTTGGAATAAAAGGCTTACCTGCCTTTCTTAACCGGTTAATGGTTGTTGTATGTATTTCCTGTTCTTGAAAATGTGTATCTCAGACATATTTAAACGGTTCAGAAATCATCTTGTGTTGTGCAAACAATTTTGTAAAATGATGACTCTCTCCCCACCAATTTGGGGATGGGAACCCGACCTTTTTCTTTTCATGTTCCCAGTGGCTAGCACAGCGACTACTACAGAATAGGACTCAGTATATATGTGTGAATGAATGATTTGCATAGCTGGGAGAGTGAGAGATCTCGCTGCCCTCTTGTCTATGCACTTTTGAGTTTAAGTCATCATATAAGCTGGGTTTGAAAAGGACTTTCAGTGGTGGTCCATTTCATTTCTTTGCTTTCTGACCAGTTACTGCACCTACAAGTAGAGGTGCAAAGTAGAACATGCAGAGGTAGTCTCTCCTGAAGAAAGAGTATAAATCCTTTTAATGACCAGTTTTATTAACTAAACCATGGACTTTGGAATGTAATGTGCACTACACTCATTTTTTGGTGTGTAGAAGGGTGAGGGTGGGAGGGGCTTGTTAAAAATTATAGATTCCTGTGTATCATTCCCCATGGAGGTGGGGCTCAGGAGCCTGCATTTCATCGTAGGTAAGTCAGATGTTGATGTCCCTCTGGCGAATGTTAGCCAAAGCTAGGGGTCTACACACTGGCCAGCTTGCCAGATTTGGTCTGCAGGCTAAGAATGGCTTTTACATTTTTAAAAGCTTGTAAAAAAAAAAAAGACAATATGCAACAGACATCATATAGGCCTGAAATATTTACTATCTGGCTTGTTACAAAATAAAGTTAGATCCTTGCCTAAACGCTTCATGCTTCAGCTGTCATTTATATGTTAGAGTGGGTGGTCAGGAAATTAGTGTAGATAACACAAATGGGCTGGTGGTAGCACTACTGTGACTTTTTATAGGTCTATTCTAGATATAAAACTTTCCCTTTAACCTACAATGCTTTACACACAGGAGGTGTCCATTGTATTTGTTGGATGGATATTTCATGATGTTGTTTTTATTTGTAGGTGCTGTTGAGTTAGAAAACTTGCCATTAAAGAAAGATGCCTTGAAAGAACTGGAATTACCATTTGAAGTCAAAGCTGGTATGTAGAACTAAAGGAAAGGTAGAAAGTTTTGAGTCTTTGTTTGGATCATGAAACTGAGAGCCCTGGAGTTTTTATCTATTTGACCAGGAAGAGGAAGGATAAGAAGTGTTGGAGTTTTGATCAGTCTTTAAAGTGTAGTCTCTGGGCCACTCGTATCAGGATGATCTTGGGGTGGTGGTGGGGAGGTCAGGTGGCCCCCGGACTTACTGGATCAGAATCTCTTGAGGGAGTGTTATTGAACCTGCATTTTTAATAAGCACCCCAGGTGATTCTTATGTTTACTAAAGTGTGAGAACCTCTATTCTAGATACAGGGCATTGTTATCCTAAGAGAATTCATTACAGGTATTACAGAGAGATAGCTTACTCTGTTGAATAAGAGGTGGGCTCTGAAACAATATGCTTGGGTTTATATTCTATTTCTGCCATTTTCTGGCTGTGTGACCTTAGGCAAGTTATTATACCTAACTACTCTGTGTGTGCTTCCTTATCTTTAAGATGAGATAGTAATAGTATCTATGTCATAGGATTGTTGAGAGGAATACATGAATTAATACATTAAAATTACTCTGAACAGAGCTCAGGAGTTCGAGACCAGCCTGTGCAAGAGTGAGACCTGGTCTCTACAAAAAATAGAAAACTTAGTTGGGCATGGTGGTACATACCTGTAATCCCAGCTATGTGGGAGGCTGAGGCAGGAGGACCCTTCGAGCCCAGGAGTTTGAGGTTGCAGTGAGCTATGATGACGCTGCTGTACTCTACCTGGGGCAACAGAGCAAGACTGTATCTTAAAAAAAAAAATTACTCAGAATAGAACAGTGCCTGGCACACTCAATAGATGTTAGCAGTTATAGGACTTCTGTAGGTACTAGGTTGAGTAAGGAAATAAGAATTATTGCCAAATAAAAATAGTCACTAATGAATGACCCTTATAAAATTATTTGCTGTTCAGATACCTCTCATTATTCAACAATAGCTTGATCATTTCAGTCTTCCCTTTATTTTGGGTGCTTATATTACAATAAAATGCAAGTACAATGCAAATTCATCGCTAGGTGAAATAGAATGGAAATCTTGCAAAAGATCGAGGCTTTCTTAAAGTCAATTCCAGTGATGGCTGAACTGCCAAAATCACAAGCAAAGACACTGACAAATTATAAAGTCTGAAGGAAACCCTGAAGAATCATGACATTGTGGATACTTCCAAGACAGTATTATTTTGGTGTCAAAGGATTTAGAAGCTCTTGGGAAAAATTGATGAAGTTTTCTAATTTTTGCAAAAATGACCCTATTTTCTGCAAAAAGTAAAGTATAAGAGAAATTATATTTTGCTTGTCATAGAGCTATCAAAATGATAAACATCCTTAATTACATGTGAAGTGCAACTGTGCACTAATTATAATTAAAATTATTTGTAAAAATTGGCATATGGTTTTAGTTATAAATTTTATTAAGTATAAACTTTCTTTTTTTAGATAAAATCCTAATTTTTTCATTATTGTAAAATTTCTTAATTTGTTACTATTAATAGATTACATAGTGGATCATTTGGTGTTGTCATTAAAAATATCATTGTAAATGATATTCTTTTATCTTAAATATAACAGATCAATCCCTCTTAAATTTAGATCTTAGAGGGTAATGATTACACCTTGATAACATGTGCTGCATTTCATAGGTAGAATGTTAGTTGAGCTTGTAGATCTTTGAGCAACCCATTAGGACAGGTCATATGTTCTTATGTGCTATCCCTAGAATGGTGACTTGCCTCTTATAAATTGAATTTAAAGAAGGCATGTGTTCTAGGAGGCTTGGCTAGAAATGGAACAACTCAAATTTCAACAGGAGATTTGGAGGGACCAAACAGCCAAACCATATCACTGTTTTACCAAGCCATGCTTTCTCATCAGCCAGGTTCTCAGGAGGAATCAGAATTCTTTATCGAGAGAGTGCCAGTGCAGTGTTTTCTATGTTTCAGTTTGTGATGGTTGTGTTCAAGATTGGATAAATTATAGTTCTGATGACTCCCAGTGAGTACTTATCAACCAGCCAATTAATAATTAACAAGAAATGAGTTTTGTGTTCATGGGCTTGTGCAGGTGCTATGGGAAGAAAGACACGTCAAGGAAGTTTAAGATGTAGTCCACTTGGGAAAGAGAGTTTCTAGAGCAGAGATGTTGCATTTGATATGATAAAGTCTCACTGATCTTTTTCCAGCTTCTAATTAATTATGCTTTGTTCTTAGACAGCCTACTAACACTTGTTTCACATTTGCAAGAGTCTGCTGTCTGTTTTTTTTTTTTTTTTTTTGAGACAGAGTCTCACTGTGTTGCCCGGGCTAGAGTGCCGTGGCGTCATCCTAGCTCACAGCAACCTCAAACTCCTGGGCTCAAGCAATCCTTCTGCCTCAGCCTTCCGAGTAGCTGGGACTACAGGCATGTGCCACCATGCCCGGCTAATTTTTTCTATATATTTTTAGTTGTCCAATTAATTTATTTCTAATTTTAGTAGAGATGGGGTCTCGCTCTTGCTCAGGCTGGTTTCGAACTCCTGAGCTCAAACAATCCGCCCACCTCGGCCTCCCAGAGAGCTAGGATTACAGGCGTGAGCCACTGCGCCCGGCCGTCTGCTGTCTGTTTTTTAAAATTAAAAAATAAATGATAAAAGTGATATATGCTCCTTAAATAAAACTAGAAACATACGGAAAAATGGAAAGAATTAAAAACGTGTACAGACTTTTAACAAGATTTTCCTTCTTTTTCCAGGCTTCATTGGGAAAGTCACTCTTCAGATTCCCTTTTATCGCCCCCACGTGGATCCTTGGGTGATCTCCATATCCAGCCTTCACTTAATTGGAGCCCCGGAAAAAATACAGGATTTCAATGATGAAAAGGAGAAGCTCTTGGAAAGAGAACGCAAGAAAGCGCTACTGCAAGCCCTGGAGGAGAAATGGAAGGCAAGGCACAGATCCTGTTAGTTGTAAGAGCAGTTGTGGTGACACGAGAGTCTGCTAACACTGGCTCTTTCCTTTGTAGAATGAACGCCAGCAGAAAGGGGAATCCTACTGGTATTCAGTTACTGCCTCCGTCGTTACGAGAATTGTGGAGAATATTGAAGTAAGTCCGGTTGACTTCTATAAAGTATTAATGTGAAAGGAATTTGTTAGGCTTAAATGTGTTTCACTTCTTAGTTACTTGTTTTTTGTGGGTTTAACTGACACAGGGTGTATACGGGGCTGGCCGCCCAGGTCTTCTCTTTTGTGGATTGTGCCAAAGGGAAAACCTGAAAAGCAAGTCCTGTGCTGTGTGGCAGACACAGGTATTTCTTGCTTCAGCTGGTGTGACTAGGGGTTTTTGTTTCTCTTCCATTTCACTTACTGCACTTTCTTTTTGAATGTTGGAATCCCACTTGCTGAAGGATTTATCTCCCAAGAAGCCAGGTTACCTAAGCTTTGATGGCTGTATGATTTCAGAGCAAATCACTTACCCTCTCTGGGCTCAATTTCTTCTTCTATAAAATGAGAGAGGTTGGTTACATGGTGTCTAGTTGATTACATAGTGAATTGTGAACAGCCCACTAAGGTATTTAACCTCTCACTGAAGTATCTGGTGGCTATTGGATGAATTACAGTGCTGGGACTGTTGGCCATGTTTTCTACTTTAATTACAATTTTGTTTTGTCCTCAAAAACTGGATCAAGGTCCACACTAAATTTTGTGAATGTCAAGAGGTAGTCTGTATTTATTACCTTGAGGGTTTTCTTGCAATGCCAAGGTGACGTAGGCCAAATGTGTGCAAGGTATGCCATGTCTCTCAAAAATACAGTCTGAGGCTGTTGGCGTCATAACTTTTATAACTTTGACAAAAATATTGGTACATTGTGGTGACTCCTTTAAATTTTTTTTTCTGTAGAGATGGGAGTCTTGCTATGTTGCCCAGGCTGGTCTCAAACACCTGGCCTCAAGCAATCCTCCTGCCCCAGCCTTCCAAAGTACTGGGATCACAGGTGTGAGCCACCACACCTGGCCAAGGTGACTGCTTTGTATTCTGTTTCAGGCAGTTACTATTTTTTAGCTATCATTGATTTTTAAAAAATTTGTCATTTTTTTTTTTAGTTTTACTAACAGGTTTATTGAGATATGGTTCATATATCAGAAAGTTCACCCTTTCAAAAAGTACAATTTAGTGGTTTTTAGTATATTTACAAAGTTGCACATTGATCACCGCTGTATAATTCCAGAACATTTTCATCATCCCCAAAAGAAACTCATATCCAGGGCGGGTGCGGTGGCTCATGCTTGTAATCCCAGCACTTTGGGAAGCCAAGGTGGGAGGATAGCTTGAAGCCAAGAGTTTGAGACCAGCCTGGGCAACATAGCAAGATCCTGTCTCTATAAAAAATAAAAAATTAGCTGGACATGCTGGTGTGTACCTGTATTCCTAGTTACTCTGGCAGCTGAGGCAGGAGGATTGTTGAGCCCAGGAGTTTGAGGGTGCAGTGGGCTATGATGGCATTACTGCCTGGATGATAGAATGTGACTCTGTCTCTTTAAAAAAAAAGAGAGGAAAAAAAAAAAAAGAGAAAAAAAAAAAGAAACCCATATCCAATTAGTGTTCACTGCCAATTCCCCTCCCTCCATTCCCTGGCAACTACTAATCTACTTTCTCTCTGGATTTGCTTAATCTGGACATTTGATATAAATGGAATCATATAGTATGTGGCCTGCTTTCACTTAGTGTAATGTTTTCAAGGGGCATCCATGTAGTAGCCTGTATCAGTACTTCATTGCTTTTTATGATTGAATAATATATTTCATTGTATGGATTGTCAGAGATAAAGGCTGACATTAGTTAAAGAAGTCAAAACAGATTTTATTCAGTAACTACTGACAGCAGGGGAAAAAGCTGAGCTCCACTCTGACTTGTGCAGAGGTGGTGGGTCTTTTAAAGGGAGTGTGAGGGTGTAGGGAGGGGGAGCAAGTGGGGACTCAAATGAAAAATTACACAGTGCTGGAGTGAATGTGATTAGGCCAGCGTGTCTGCTAGCTGGCAGTGATCAAAGTTAGGATTCTGTCCTTCCAGAGACTGGGAGGCAAAGGCCCTACCCTTCCTGCTAATTACATTTCAAAGGAATGGCTTTCAGGTCCTTGAGTTGTGCAGTTTCTCCACATCCTCAGCAACATTTGTTTTGTCTGTCTTTTGATCATAGCCATACTAGTGGGTGTGAAGTGATAATCCCTTTGTGGTTTTGGTTTGCGTTTCCTTTTTTGTTTTTTTGGAAGAGGAGAGCTTTATTTCTCATAAAGTTTTCAGACTGCAGTGGCCATTCCCGCAGGCTGGGAAACAGGGCTCCCAGCCACAAGCCATGTTTCAAGGGAGGGACAAAGGGAATGGGGTGTTACACTGAGCAGGGTGGCTAAATATATACACGTTTATAGGAGGAGTCATGAATAGTTAGAGAACTTTGCTCCTGTGCAGTGGGGCTTTTTGTCCTTTTATGGTGTTCGTATTTGAAAATGGCCACCCTCTGTCAAAAAGGAGAAACAAGGTGAAACAAAAACACTCTGTGTGCATGTTGTGTAGACTGTTAAAGCTACTTTATGGTTGGGGTCTTTTATCAGGAAAGAATGATGGTCTGGCCCTTAGGAAATAAAGCCTGATGGCCATTAGCAAGGGAGGAGTAAAATGATGCATGTCATGGCTGGGAACTGAGTTTTAAGTTTTCTCTCTGGTCCCCTTGGTCGAGAGGGGCCAATTTAGTCAGCAGGAAGAGTAGCATTTTATTTTTAGCTCATAATGTAAATAGTGGTAGATTGTAGGAGCTACATTTCTCAAGAGGAAGCTAGAATGATCCATGTGGTTAATGGACTGAACATCAATATAAACTCATGCTTAGCTTAATATAGATGCAGATAGTTACACAGAAATAGTTATAGGTACATGTTGCCGGTTAAATATGGGACACGGGTGAGTATAAACACATACAGAGTCATATGTCACTTAATGATAAGGATATATTCTGAGAAATGCGTTGTTAGGTGATTCATCATTGGATAGTTTAAACAACAGAAATTTTTCTCACAGTTTTGGTGGTGGAAAGTCTGAGATCAGGGTGCCAGCATGGTCAGGTTCTAGTGAGGCACTCGTCCTCGCTTCCGGATGGCTGCCTTCTTCCTATGTGGGGCAGCGGGGAGACAGAGAGAGAGAGAGGTTTGCATTTTCTTAACAGCTAATGATGTTGAGCATCTTCTCACATGTTGATTGGCCATTTGTATATCTTCTTTGGAGAAATGTCCATTCAAATCCTTTGCCTGTTTTGAAAATCAGCTTGTTTGTCTTTTTATTGTTGGGTTATAAGAGCTCTTTATATATTCTGGATACTAGTCTTTTATCAGATATATGATTTGCAAATACTTTCTCCCATTCTGTAGATTGTCTTTTCACTTTCTGTAATTATTTTTCAATTCATTGAAGCAGAGTTCCTTTTCTGTAACGCACTTACAGGGGCAAGGGGAAATACATACATACATACATACATACGTACATACATACAAAGTTTGTGTGCTCTGCTGGTGTTCCTGGGATGCTGGGACATAGAGGCAAGATTAAGATATCAGCAGAGTGGGAGGAATAGTTATTTGGATATAATGTAATTATTCTCTTTAATTACTTTTTAAGGGTATCTTCCGAACTGAAGCCTTGCAGCTCTATATTTGAGATAACACTGATCACAAGTGTCATTCATGTGCAGTTTGTGATTATAACTCTCTCAAGAACTTAGAGAATACTGGATATGTGTGTGATGTGTTTGTATAAAATGCCTGCTATAGGTTTACTTCAGCGGCTTAAGGTCAGCTTGACACCTACTTACAGTATTTCACCTTCAGAAGTTGTCTGCATGTTTTCTTCTTTTTTCTCGTCTTTGCAGTTAAAAATTCAGGATGTCCATTTACGCTTTGAAGATGGTATCACCAATCCTTCCCATCCTTTTGCGTTTGGCATCTGCATTAAGAATGTGTCCATGCAAAATGCTGTGAATGAGCCTGTGAGTATGAAATACTATCATACTACAAACCAGGAAGAAAGCAGCGTTCTAGGGAATTTGGGGCTCTGCCTTTTGTCATTTTGTGTCATGTAAATGAGATCTCATTCTTTTCCACTAGTTCTGTGGTAGGTATGCATGTCTCTTGTCTGTATGCAACAGATCTAATTTGCTCAAATAGAGAAACAGTTAATATTCTCTGACCTTTGGTTATATCACTTTTATTTTACATGTGAGGAAACTGAGGTGCAGAAAGGATTTCATCTTTGATTTTCTTCTCATGCCATGCGCGCTCCCTGGGTAAACTAGTTCTGTTTCATAGTTTTAGCTGTCACCAGTATGTCTGTGCTGATGGCTTTCACATCTTGATCTCTATTCTCTAGATCTCTTTGACCTTCATATTCATATTTTAAACTACTTACAGGACACCTCTCTAGTATTCCAGGCTTGTCCAGTGAGACACTCTGCTTCTCTGCAGTCTTCACACAACACTTTTGACACAAGCAATTCTCCATCAGACATCAACTGTGTTTGCTACAGTCAATTCTGACACTAACTGGAGTTGAAGCAGGCCCACAGGTTAAGGACCGAATCCCACAAGACTGCCCTCCATTTCAGATGCCAGTAGCAAGTCCCAGGTTGTGACTTGTGCTTCTGACCGACTGGCAATAAGCTGGCCTTCCCACGACCCAAGTTAGGATGCCTCACAGAACTCAGGGAAATACTTTACTTACCTTTACTGGTTTATTATAAAGGATATTGTGAAGGGTACAGGTGAACATCAACACGAAGAGAAGCATCCACCTCCAGTGTTAGCAACTTGGAAGCTTATCAAATCTCATTGTTCAAAAGTTTTTATACAATTTAATATCCAGCCCACCACCGAGAGGTTGGTGGGTGGGTTTGAAAGTCCCAGTCTTCTATTCACTTGATCTTTCAGGTGTCCAGCCCCATCCTGAGGCTATCTAGGGGCCTCCTCCTAAGTCTCTGCATTAGCATAAACTCAGATGTGGTCAGAAGGGGCTCGTTATAAATTACAAGAGGCACTCAGGAACTTTCAAGAGTTTTAGAAGCTCTGTACCGGGAACCAGGGGACAAAGACCAATGTATTTCATATTATACCACATCTCTTCATAACCCAAATGATCCCATTATATTGCATCTGCCCATTTTGCTGTCCTAAATCAACTTTTTTCCTTTATTCTCAAACATGTTGTTGAATGTTAAAACAAATACCATCTAACAGCTTTTGAGCCCGTTTGTGTACCAGGCACTGTTCTTAGTACTTGACATGATTTAATTCATTTAATTCTCCTTAATTTTCACCACCACTGTTATCCTAGTATTACAGCTGAGGACACTAAGTTGCAAGAGATGAAGTGAGAGGTAGAGCCAGGTCTTGAACCCAGGTGGACCAGCTCTAAATCAGGGGTTGGCTAACTATGGCCTGTGGCCAAATCTGACTCTGCTGCCTGTTTGTGTAAATAAAGGTTTATTGGATCGTGTCATTAGTATTGTCTAAGGCTGCTTTTGTACTACAGTGGCAAAGTTGAGTGCTGTAGTTACAAAAGAGACTGCTTGGCCTCCACTGTCTACTACTGACTGTCCCGTAACAGAAAAAAGTGCGCCACCCCTGCTCCACAGTGTGTCTTCTTACCCACCACACTAGTCTCTAGAAGCCTTGTGCTCGTCCTTGTACTTCTCCTGCTTCAGCCTCCATATCAGCTTGCTTGCAAGGCCCTGCTGATTTTTCCTGCAACATGTCTCAAAGGTGGTTCTTCCTCTCTATCCTTATGTGACTGTCATCCTTCAGGATCCTGTTGACTTTTGCCTGGGCTAATGAAATATCCTGTTCTGTGACCTCCTGGATCTTTTGATTCATTCTCCACCCATGCTTCCCAATCTTCTTTTTTGTTTGTTTGTTTTGAGACAGTGTCTTGCTGTGTTGCTCAGGCTGGAGTGCAGTGGTGCACTCCTAGCTCACTGCAGCCCCGAACTCTTGGACTCAAGAAATCCTCCTGCCATGGCCTCGCAAAGTGCTGGGATTACAGGCGTGGACCCCCCGCCCTCCAGCCCAGCCTGCTTCCCAATCTTTTCCACGTCATGGCACACATGGAAAAAAGTACTGTATTTGTACAATACACTGAGACAAATGGCTGTGGCTACTTGGGGCTGGAAGTGGCTAACTCAGAGCAACCAAATGTTTCTAAAATGTAACTTGATCCCATAAACTTGCTCATGCTTGACACACTCATAACTCATTTTTCTGGCACAATGTGGGGAAAGTTCTGCTTTATACTGTTGCCAAACTTCTCTTTCTAAAACTCATACCCGATGGTGATGCCTGCCTGTATCTTCAGTGGCTCCATGTCACTTGAAGTATGAAGTCCAAATGCTAGTATGGCATACACTTCCTTTCCTAGAGTATTTATTTTCTAGGGCTGCCAAAACACATTGCCGCGAACTGAATGGCCTAAAAACAGCAGAAATATATTCTCTAGTCTAGAGGGTAGAAGTCTGAAATGAAGAGGTTGGCAGGATTGGTTCCTTCTATAGACTTTGGGGGAAAAACTGACCTCTCTCCTTGTCTAGTGGTTGCTGGCAGTCATTGCGTTCCCTGGCTTGTAGATACATCACTCCAATCTCTGCCTTTATCTTCCCATGGCCTTCTCTCCTATGTGTCTTTTTTTTCTTATAAGGACACCGCTCATTAGATGTGGGCCTACACCAGTCCTGTATGACCTCATTTTAACTTTACATCTACAGAGACTCTGTTATCAAATAAGGTCACATTCATAGCTTCTGGGTGGGCAAGAGTTTTTTGGAAGGGGAGGACACTATTCAGCCCAGTGTACTTAGTAACATTCCAAGCTACTTTTCTCAACCCTTAACTAACTCCCTACTCCAAATATGTATTCATAAACATGAATCAGTACTGCCCCCCATTCCACATGTAGTGTTCTAGTTACACAGATGTATTCACTGTCCCTGAAGATATCAGGCCTTTTATATAGACGGGCCCCTATATTCGAGGATTCCACATACAGAGATTCAGCCAACATTGGATTGAACAGTATTCCCCCAAACCCCCCAAACAATAACAATACAACAATAAAAAATAATAGAAATTAAAAAAAAATTCAGCATAACAACTATTTACATAGCATTTACATTGTATTAGGGATTATATAGATAATCTAGAGATGATTTAAAGTGTGTGGGAGGATGTGTGTAGGTTATATGCAAATACTGTGTCCTTTTATATCAGGGACTTGAGCATCCTTGGATTTTGGTATCTGCAGGGTCCTGGAACCAACCCCTTGTTGGTTGGTTCCAACTGAGGGATGCTTGGTTGACCCAGTCCTCTGATCCTCCCTGACTGTTTGCCTGAAACTTTTGACACTTATTTGCACAGTGACATTTTCTTTTTTGTTCGCTCATAGCATAGTCTTCCTCTGCTTCCCTCTGTGTAATTAAAATTATTCGTTTGCATGTTTGTGTCCCCAGTTAGCTAGATTTTGAACTCTGCAAGAGAAAAACCATATTTTAATTCAGTTTTGTATCCCCAGCACCTTGCAAAGTGCTTGGTGCATGCTTCTTCACAAATGGTTTATTGAATGAATGAGTACATTCATGAGTAAAGATAGTCATTGTATTTTCTTCCCTTTCTTACCTCAGGTACAGAAACTAATGCGGAAAAAGCAATTAGATGTGGCAGAGTTTGGCATCTATTGGGATGTTGATTGCACTTTATTGGGGGATTTGCCTCAGGTGGAGTTACAGGTATGATTCTGGCAGAGGGTGTTATTGTAAGACACCACTGAAGGAAAATGGTGTAGGATCACTGCCATGTTGGTTTTCGTCCCCTGCATCTCTGATGCCCATTCCCGTCCCCCTCTTCTCCATGGGCATCCACTCTCAAGTCTGTTTGCTTGAGGTAGTTGCTATGTATGTAACTTTGAACAATATACAGTGTTTGATGTATGTTTTAAATTTATATTGGAGGCTGGGCGCGGTGGCTCACGCCTGTAATCCTAGCTCTCTGGGAGGCTGAGGCGGGCGGATTGTTTGAGCTCAGGAGTTCAAAACCAGCCTGAGCAAGAGCGAGACCCCGTCTCTACTAAAAATAGAAAGAAATTAATTGGACAACTAAAAATACATAGAAAAAAAATTAGCCGGGCATGGTGGCACATGCCTGTAGTCCCAGCTACTTGGGAAGCTGAAGCAGAAGGATTGCTTGAGCCCAGGAGTTTGAGATTGCTATGAGCTAGGATGACACCACGGCACTCTAGCCCGGGCAACATAGTGAGACTCTGTCAAAAAAAAAAAAAAAAAATTAGATTATAGATTTCTTTTTTCACTTAAATCTATTATTTTAAGATATTACTGTTTTTACTTCAGATATATTGCTTCTGACTATTGCATAGTATTCTATCGTATGTATGTAATACAGTATAATTATTCATTCTCTCGGCCACCATGTACTAGGTATTTAGATTTTAAATGAACAAAGCACCAGATCTGATTCTTAAAGAGGAGCTTTCTTACCATATTTATGTTAAAGCTTCACCTTCAGTGGCATTCCTTTAAGAAATAGTTAGAAATTCATAAATCATTGGGTATAAAGTATTACCGTTTATGAAAGATAAAAAAAATCTCAGTTTGATCTTTTTGTAAGAAATTGTAGGTGGTTTAGTGAAATGGGGGAAAATGACTCATTTTTCCCCCACCCAAAGTTATCTTTGACTTGCATGCTATTGTACAGGATGGGTTTTCGTTTTGCCAATTTGATAAAATAAATACTGTATCTACACAGTAGAATAATGTATACCTATAAAAAAAAAAGGTAAGTATCTAAGTATCTTTATGATGAATATGTAATAGTCTCTAAGATATAGTATTAAACTAAAAAACTAAGGCAAAACTGCTTATATAGCATTTGTGTAGGAAAACATAAAATTATAGATTTATCTGAATATGTTTAGAATGTCAGAATGCCTCTGGTGGGAGACATAAGAAACTGGTATTACTGGGTGCCTCTGGGGAAGGTAAGTGGGTGACCAGAGGATGAGAGTAGGAAAGAGATATCACCTTTTTTTGCCTTTAAAATTTTATTACCTTTTAAATTTTAAATAAAAATTTTAAAATACTGGAGAGCTTTAGAACCCAGTTTTATAGTATTTTTAGATTCTGATGTAATATAGTATAGATTAGATAACATACCAACATGTAACTTGATCCCAGAAACATTTGCTGTTATGACACAGCCTATGGCTTAGCTTGACCATTTGTCATAAAACCCCAGTGTTATAAAAGAGCGACTACCAGAAGGAAAGCCAGTCTGAGCAGAGCAGGTGTTCTTGTGACACGCAGGAGGCCATGGCCAAGAGCATGGAGAGTCGCAGTCATCACTATGTCCTGGAGCCCGTGTGTGCGTCTGCTCTTTTGAAGAGAAACTGCTCCAAGGAGCCTCTGCGGTCTCGGCATAGTCCTCGTATCGAATGTGATATTCAGCTGGAGACCATTCCCTTGAAACTCTCTCAGGTACACTCTTTCTTTCCAGTGGCTTACACTCTCACTGTCAGCTTGGTGACTAGAGGTGAAGGAAGAATGTGGATAGTAAGGTCTTGATATTTGATGAGTATCCTCAGCAGTAAAGAAAGTGCATGTGAGACCACCTCCCTCCAGACCAAAGTTGTGTTAGGTGTAAAACACACTATCTATTATATAGTTAAATTGGGTTGATCTCAGGTTAGTTTTGATGTGAGTTTTTAAGAGCTGCACGAAGAATGCAAGAGGTACAGTAAAAATAAATACTTTACTGTCAGTGTTCGGAGAGACATGCTACTTGGTACTGATAGCTTGGTCTTCCAGTTTGCACTGGGTTTCAACTCAGTGGATTGACTAATATGAATTGTTCTTGTTAGATATAGATCTTAACCAAGTACAAGAAACAAATCTATTCTAAACTAGTGTCTCTTGACCTCCAATAAAAAGCTGCAATACAGGCAAATCATGGAATTCCTTAAGGAGCTGGAACGAAAGGAGAGGCAGGTGAAGTTCCGAAAGTGGAAACCCAAAGTGGCCATATCCAAGAAGTAAGGACTTCTAAGTGTTGTTATGTGAAATACATCTATAGCATGTTCTTTCTTTGTACATAGATGGAGAAATGTACCTGACTGTCCTTTACCCATGATTGGAGATAAATGTATGATTGATCTTTCTGGCCCTTGAAATGCCATTCCTGTTGTTTATTATTGTTGCTGTTCTTACTATATATTTATATGATGTCATAGGTTTCCTCATTTTGAGTGCAGTGAAATTCAGGAGATCCTTTTGGTCTCGTTTAGCAAGTAGAATGATGTTGCTCTTGCGGGATCTGGTGTGTAGTAAATACTTTGTAATATTCTTTGAAGCTGCTCCCCTCTATCTCTTCTCCCAGGTTGACTGATCAACATGTATATAGTACACTTTCGAACTTCCATCGCAAACCCAAATCCTCTTTTCATGTTGCAGTGATAAACTTGACCAGTTTGATATATTAAAACTTTGAAGATCCTCTGTTTTTCTATGTCTTCAGTTAGAAATATTCAATTAAAAACTTTAGTAGTCAGACCTTTGGTAATTATCTTAAGACGATATTTATCTTACAGTCAGCACTTGATGTTCTGTCAGTGAATGGGCCTGATACTGTGGGTAATTCAAACCAATTGAGTTCTGTGTTACTGAGGTATAAGTTGGGGATCTATTATTTGATGTTCTTTGGCAGCAGATTTACTTTTCTCACATATTGGGTTTAGCTTAATATTAAAATGAGCTAAAGACATAGACCGATGGCTGATGAGAAAAGATGTCTTAGAGGAGTGGTTATGTGGATTGTCCTGAATTGATAGCATTTTAGTTGCTTTTGTTGTGAGAAGTAATTACGTTGTTATGGACTATTTCAGCTGCCGAGAATGGTGGTGTTTTGCTTTGAATGCTAACTTGTATGAAATCAGAGAGCAGAGGAAACACTGTACCTGGGACTTCATGTTGCATCGTGCCCGCGATGCTGTATCTTACACTGACAAGTATTTCAGTAAGTTAAAAGGAGGCTTGCTGTCTGCAGAGGACAAGGTGAGTGTACTGTTGTGTTTCTTGTCTTCATTCAGAGGATTAGGGTGTTCTCTCAAAGGACAAAAAAAATGGGATCTGTGAAGAAAGAAAGTCCCTTGCCAAGAGGCATAATTTTACAGGATAGAGTTGGTCTTCCCAGAGTGAGAACTTAGCCAGAAGCATCCTCCACCCTCTGCTGGCTGAGGAGAACCACACCATGGAGTAGAAAGAAGAAAAGAAGGTCATGGTCCTGCCATGCCTTTGTGCCCACATGCCTTCTCCCTAGCTCTCTATACAAGGCCCGGAGAGACTTTCTCATGCAGTCAGTCACCTACGTCTCTTAAAAGCCTGATCCTACTCCTAATTCTTGTCCTTCGAAGTCTGTAACTAATCTCTGTAAACTCTGGCCTACATTTTCCTTAATCCCAGTTGACTTGATTGGCCTTGGGGTTTTTGGTGGTAGAGGCTAGGTAGAAGTGGGTAAAGTCGGTGGTGAAGGCAAGCTCAAGTTTTAGTTAACGGTAAAGCTAGAGACCCTGAGAACCACCAGTCCTGGAGTCCTGGCACGGGACCCCACCCCTTCCCTAGCAATCTACCTGCTGTAGGGAAAGGTAGTGGGAATTGCTTTGTGCCTTGATTTGTTTTGGTTTGGTGAACATCAGTGTGTGCAATAGCTATTTAGACCATTTCCAAGATTTTGGCTCAGGTACTGTCTCTTAACTAATCATTTCTTTAGGAGACTCTTCCAAGCAAAAAGGAATATTGCTCTCCCTTCAGCACCCCCTGTGTGGTAACAGAGGGCAATCCTAAATCCCTAGGGGTTCTCACCTCTCCTGCCAGCGCCCTGAGGCCATGGCCCACTCACTTTAATTCCTTTTTTCATCAATGTCAGACGTGGTTACCTACATAGGAACCTTATGAAAAGGAAGGAATAAACCAGACATTTTATTTTGAATGGTTTTCTTAAAGGCATAGGCAAAGACATGGAGAGAGAGAAAAATCTAAATTACAGCTGAGATGAGCAAGTAAACATGTATAAACTCCTTTTCCTTAACATTAGTGTATAAGAAACAGTTTAGGATAGCTAATTCTACCTTGTTTTTTATCTTGGCATTTAGCTGGCTACCATTGCTTCTTCCTGACCAGTATGAAATGAGTTAAAATGACCATATCCTTGCTGTTATCCTAAATGAAGCATAAAAGAGCTGGTGTCTGCACACTTACTATATAAAGTTGATCCTCAGTTTCAGGAAGAATAACTAGCCCGTCTACTTTGCTCATCTGAGCTAATGCATGTGAAAGCCCTTTGTAAACTGCGTCAGTGCTGTGCAAAGTGTAGGGTGTTGCAGCAGTGTGTGCTTCAGTGACCCATTGAAAACTAAGTACTGCTGTATTTTGCTCCCTCTCTATTTACCGTTAATCCCAGGTACCATGAAACTTGTAAGTAATATTTTTGAGACCAAGTAAAATCTATTGGATTATATGGAAAATCTGTTTAAAACAGAAATAGCAATCACGGAACTATTTGGCCTTCAGTGCCAATGCTGGGGGCCGGATAGTTCCTTTGCTGTACTTACAGTGGTTTTTAAGAGTGTCTAGTGTCTCTAGACCTACAATATCTGTTTTTCTGTTTGTTTGTTTTTGTTTTCGCCAAAACAGGAGGAAATGTGTCGGATTGAAGAGGAACAGAGCTTTGAGGAATTGAAGATTTTGCGTGAACTGGTTCATGATCGATTTCACAAACAAGAAGAACTAGCAGAGGTAAGAAATCCTCTACGAGAGGGTTTGTTCAGACCCAGCACTCTGAGTGCTACGGTTTTGATATGCTCATGTGTCTGGGGGGGACAAGCTGCAGTGGCGGGCTCACCACAGCTTGCTTTTATCTTTGCTACTCATGTTCGCTCGTTTGTGATTCACACAGAGCCTACGGGAGCCGCAGTCTGATTCTCCAGGGGACTCTCCTGGAGCCCCAGAACCCGGCGGAGGCAGCGGGATGCTGCAGTATCTTCAGTCCTGGTTTCCTGGCTGGGGTGGCTGGTACGGGCAGCAGACTCCTGAAGGGAAAGTGGTCGAGGGGTTCTCAGCAGAGCAGCACGAGCCGTGGATTCCCGAAGAGATCCTGGGTACGATGGGAGCCGGCCTTCACTTAGTTCATAAAAATTGGTCTGTTACTCATGCAACAGCCTGTGGTGTTTTTCAAATTTCACCAAAGCAGATACTTGGAAAACAGTTTGTTTCATGTTCATAGAGGCTGAGAGAAGAAATGTTTTGGGAGATACTCCATTTGCAACTCCATTACTAAATGTGAATATATTAGTATACTTTCAGAAAGATGGCAGTGATTGTCAGAGAACCAAATTTGAGCAAGTTAAAAAATTTTGAACTGAAACTTGAGTACCAGTCCAGAGCCATTCTTTAAACCTGCACTGTCCAGTATGGCAGTCATAGCCACAATGGCTATTTAAATTAATTAAAATTAGATATAAGTAATAATTCGGTTCCGTAATTACACTAGCCACATTAGCCACATGTGCTCTGAGTGCTCCGTAGCCACGTGTGGTTAGTGGCCACTGTCCTGGACAGTGCCGATACAGACCATTTCTCTGTATTGCGCAGCCCGCCTTTATACTGGACTTTATCATGAATCTTACCCTCCCTGGTTTGGTAATAAGTTCATAAGAGCCCTTATATAAACAGTTAGGGTTTTAAATTAGGGAGTAAAATAGTCACCCAGGACTTTTCCTTAAAAAAGGGAAAAATAGTTAAATAACATCATCATAACTGTGATCCGAATGCATGCTTGTGCTTTTTTTTTTATTCTGCTGTGTTTTTTCAAGTTTTTTTCTCCCTTACCATTTAGGCACTGAGGAGTTTTTTGACCCTACAGATGCCTCATGTATGAACACGTATACGAAGCGAGATCATGTCTTTGCCAAGTTGAATTTGCAGTTGCAGCGAGGTACAGTGACTCTGTTACACAAGGAGCAAGGAACTCCTCAAATGAATGAAAGTGCTTTCATGCAGCTCGAGTTTTCAGGTACTGCCCCGAAAGAACTACCTGCTCCTGATTCTCTCTCTAGGTGCCAGGGTCCAGTTGATTCTCATTATTTGTGGTAGTAACAGTCTAGAAAGTCACTGCAAAAACTGAATTAGCTACTACAGAACCATTGCTTCTAGGGGGAATGTAGGGTTAGGTTCATTCAAGCCTCTGGTTGATCAACATTTGTTGATGGATCAATACAGACCCTTATTTTTTAATGTGTGTCTGTATTTAAAAATATTTGATATATAAATGTACATATATGTGTATGATCCCTGACTTATTTTTTGCTTTACAGTGGTATGCAAAAGCAATATACATTCAGTAGAAACTGTACTTTGAATTTTGTTCTTTTCCTGGGCTAGCGATATTCGGTATGATACTCTTCTTGTGATGCTGAGCAGAGGCAGCAAGGTGCAGTTCCTAGTCAGCCACTCAGTCATGAGGGTAAACTGATGTTCTACATCTGGTGGCTTTAAGGTGAAGCCAATGCCCGTTTACCATTCTGAAAATCCCAGGGCCCTTAAGAATTATGTTAAATCTACTCTTCCTGTGCTCTATAAATGGAAGAACAAAGCCTGGATGACAGCACATCTGTTTATAACATGGTTTACTGAATATTTTACGTCCATTGTTGAGACCTACTGTGCAGAAAAAGAGATTCCTTTCAAAATATTACTGATCGCCGGGCGCGGTGGCTCACGCCTGTAATCCTAGCTCTCTGGGAGGGCGAGGTGGGCGGATTGTTTGAGCTCAGGAGTTCGAAACCAGCCTGAGCAAGAGCGAGACCCCGTCTCTACTAAAAATAGAAAGAAATTAATCGGACAACTAAAAATATATAGAAAAAAATTAGCCGGGCATGGTGGCGCATGCCTGTAGTCTCAGCTACTCGGGAGGCTGAGGCAGAAGGATTGCTTGAGCCCAGGAGTTTGAGGTTGCTGTGAGCTAGGCTGATGCCACGGCACTCACTCTAGCCCAGGCAAAAGAGTGAGACTCTGTCTCAAAAAAAAAAAAAAAATATTACTGATCATTGACAATGTACCTGGTTGCCCAAGAGGTCTGATGAAGATGTACAAGGAGATGAACGTTGTTTTCATGCCTGCTAATACAACCTCCGTTGTGTAGCTCATGGACGCAGGAGTGATTTCGACTTTCAAATCTTATTGTTTAAGAAATACATTTTGTATTTCTTAATACAATAAGCTATACGTATAGCTGCCATAGATAGTGATTACTCTTATGGATCGTGGGCAAAGTCAATTGAAAACCTTCTGTGAAGGATTCAGCATTCTAGATGCCATTAAGAACATTTGTGATTCATGGGAGGAGGTCAAAATTTCTATATTAATGGGAGTTTGGAAGAAGTTGATTCCAACCCTCATGGATGACTTCGAGGGGTTCAAGACTTCAGTGGAGGAAGTCACCGCAGATGTGGTGGAAATAGCAAGAGAACTAGAATTAGAAGTGGAACCTGAAAATGTGACAGAATTGCTGCAGTCTTACGATAATAAAACTTGAGCAGATAAGAAGTTGCTTCTTATGGATGAAAAAAGAAAGTGGTTTCTTGAAATGGAATGTACTCCCGGTGAAGATGCTGTGAACATCATTGAAATGACAAGAAAGGATTTAGGATGTTACATAAACTTAGTTGATAAAGCAGTGGCTGGGTTTGAGAGGATTGACTCCAATTTTGAAAGAACTTCTGTGGGTAAAATGCTACCAAAGAGCATCTCATGCTTCAGAGAAATCTTTCATAAAAGGATGAGTCAATCAATGTTGCAAACTTCATCATTGTCTTATTTTAAGAAATTGCCACAACTACCCCTTCAACAACCACCAGCTTGATCAGTCAGCAGCCATTAACGTCGAGACAAGACCCTCCACCAACAAAAAAATTATGAAGGTTTAGATGATTGTTAGCAATAAAATATTTTAAAATTAAGTTTATGTACATTATTGTTTTAGGTATAATGCTATTGTACACTCAAAAGAGTACAGTATAGTTTAAACATAACTTTTATATGCACCAGGAAACAAAAAAAATCCATTTGACTTGTTTTATTGTGATATTCACTTTATTGTGGTGGTCTAGAACCAAACCTGCAATGTTACCAATGTGTGTCTGTAGATAGATAGGGGTTCTAATTTCAAGGAAGAATAATTTATGATATCTAGTATTTCTCTGTTAAGTAGAATATCTAATACTTTTTAAAATACTTTAGGCTCTCTTGGCATTGTGACAACTCTTACATTTATCTTTTATAGATGTAAAACTTATAGCGGAATCTCTTCCTCGAAGAAATTCCTCCTTGCTTTTAGTCCGGTTGGGTGGACTGTTTCTTCGAGACCTGGCTACGGAAGGAACTATGTTTCCTCTTCTAGTCTTCCCCAATCCAGTATGTACAACAGTGGGTTGGTTAATACATCGAAGGTGTTGGTGAATTGCGGTCTGATTTAGGCAAACAATAAGTAATACTTACCTGATTCATTCTGAGATTTGGTCATTTTGAGACAGATAAGCTGGGGTTAGATAAGTTTTTGAATTTGTTAGAAAATGTTGGTGAGATTTATGGCTATGCCTTCTTCCACTTGCGTATTGTAGCCACCATGGTATGGTTTGCTCTGATTTGGAAGAAAATGCCCTAATCACCACCATTTCCTACATTGAATGGTCAGTGTTTGAGTTTTCTCTGTATTTGACAGTCATTTTCATGCATTCTTACCATTAGTCACTAATAAGAAATCTCATCTTTCCAGGGTTCCAAAAGGGAATTGTCTCAAGTTTTCTGTATGTGTAATTTTTATATATAATATACTTTATTAATTATGAGATCTTTGATCTTATTAAGTTGGCAGCATAGGGTCCAAATAGTTGAATATTTAGCCACTTATTTTAGCCATAATTTTTTTATGGACGGGGTGAGGGAAAGGTTTAGGGGAGGGCAAACTTAAAGTTTGAAAAGTTAGACACATTCGCTACTCATTTAGCAATCATTCATTAAACATGCTGAGTGCAAAGTAGCACACTGTCAATACAGAGGAGCAGACATGTTCTTATTAGATTGGGAAAAAGGCAAAAAACTAAACAAGTCTGCAAGTAATCTGTAATCTGATGTGAAGTGAGTTTTGACTGAGTTGTGCTAAGCGAGAGCGATCCTGAAAGGTAAAATGTGTGTATGTACATAGTGCATTGTCCCCTCTCACCCTGACATTTATGCAAATTTTTTTTTGTCTGTGTTTAATAGCAAAAAGAAGTTGGCAGAGTCTCACAATCTTTTGGTCTCCAAACTACATCTGCAGATAGAAATGATCATTACCCAGGTAATTTGTCATATGTTCTTAAAACTAGTCCTTAAAGCTATTTTTATTACAGATCAGTAGTCTTTTTGAGACAGAGTCTCACTCTGTTGGCCCCAGGGGAATAGAGTACCATGGCGTCAGCCTAGCTCACAGCAACCTCAAACTCCTGGGCTCGGGCGATCCTCCTGCCTCAACCTCCCGAGCAGCTGGGACTATAGGTGCGCACCACCATGCCTGGCTAATTTTTCCTGTTTTTTTTTTTTTTAGTTGCTCATCCAATTTTTTTTTTCTATTTTTAGTAGAGACAGGGTCTTACTCTTGCTCAGGATGGTCTCGAACTCCTGAGCTCAAGCAATCCTCCCGCCTTGGCCTCCCAGAGTGCTAGGATTATAGGCTTGAGCCACCGCGCCCGGCTGAGATCAGTAGTCTTCGAGGAATAATAAAAGAGGGAATGTTTTCTGGTTTGTGCGTGGCGGTTTGCTGTGTGGATCTGCCTTTGACCTGGAGGCAGCTTGGAGGCAACTCTCTGTGGAGTTGTGGAGCGGGGGTAACGGCAGGTTTGCAGGGCCTCCAGGTCTGCAGTTTCCACAATGGGGAGCCAATACAACAGCCCAGCCATTATGATTCCTGTTGAAAATTAGAGTCAGTCCTTACTAGGCTCTCTATTTTAAAAATGTGATAAAAATATGCATAAACTAATTGGAAAATAATTTAGAAAATGTCTTTTTTCTTCAGAATTCCTCGTGTCTATTTAGAGTAAGGTGATTGTTTTGCTATGTTCCATTTTCTTTCTCCTATTCTTTCCTTCAGCTGCAGACCCAGATAACCCTGTTTTTGAGATGCTGTATGAGAGAAATCCAGCGCACAGCCATTTCGAGAGACGGCTCGACGTTAGCACGAGGCCCTTGAACATCATTTATAACCCCCAGGCTATTAAGAAAGTAGCTGACTTTTTCTACAAGGGAAAGGTTCATACCTCAGGTTAACTTTTTCGTTTGTTTGATCTTCTGTTACTTTTAAAAAATGTCTTTCTTGTTATTTCTCGTGTTCTGGACAAGAGTTATTACAATTTAAATGACCTGATGATGGTAGGAAAGGCCTGCAGAGTGAGTGGCTAGGGTTTTCCTATTCTGTTATTAAATCATGGTAGATGTCCTTGGACAGTCTCTTTTTCCAGGAGAAATCAGTATCCTTAAATATTTTCTCTTTATTTGCCTCCTTTACCGAGCATTTTTTCGTACTTCTTATTCCATTAGAATGATGGTTTCCTTCACTACCCAGGAAATTTTAGACCAGTGAACTGAGGAAGAATGTTGAGGAGTTTCCTTCTAGATGATAGGATCAGTGGTCTCTTTTACTTGTTTGATGCAGCACTAAATACTGCAGCGTTCTAAATACCATCATTGGCCAGGCGCGGTGGCTCAAGCCTGTAATCCTAGCTCTCTGGGAGGCCGAGGGGGGCGGATTGTTTGAGCTCAGGAGTTCGAAACCAGCCTGAGCAAGAGCGAGACCCCATCTCTACTAAAAAATTAGAAAGAAATTAATTGGACAACTAAAAAAAAAATATAGAAAAAATTAGCCGGGCATGGTGGCACATGCCTGTAGTCCCAGCTACGCGGGAGGCTGAGGCAGGAGGATCTCTGTGAGCTAGGATGATGCCACGGCACTCTAGCCCGGGCAACACAGTGAGACTCTGTCTCAAAAAAAAAAAAAAATACCACCATTGATTTATTTATGCCACCCTTTGTTCCCAAGAAAGATTTGAGACGGTAGGTGCAGAAAAAGCACTTTTATTGACAGAGAAATTTATAAAATAATAGTATTTTCCTATATCTGTCCCTTCTCTCCTCCTTTATTACAACGAAGATGTTTTAGGTTTTTAATCCAGTTTTTGAGTCTTTTCACGGAAATAGTAGGCATAAATGCTGTGGCTTTATTGCTCAGGCACTGATAGAATGTAGAAGTCATTTCCTTCTAAATTCCATTTGTTTTTTTCAATATAATGTCCTGCTTTTTAAGGATTTTCAAATATAACATTTGGAATCTTTCAGAAAATGGTTCAGGTAATTCTGGTAACTTAGGTACCCTTCCCTCATGGATATCCTTTCTCCTGATGGCTATCTGCTAGCCATTTTTGCTTCATTCCTCTTAACTGTGGATTTTTTTTTTTTTTTTTTTTTTTGGAGACAAGGTCTTGCAGTGTCACCCAGGTTGGAGTGCAGTGGCATGATCACAGTTCACTGGAGGCTCGAAGGAATCCTCCTGGATTCCTGGGCTCAAGGAATCCTGCCTTAGCCTCCCGAGTAGCTAGGACTACAGGCCCACACCATCATGCCCAGCTAATTTAAAAAAATATTTTGTAGAGGTGGGGTCTTGCTATGTTGCCCAGGCTGGTCTCAAACTCCTGGCCTCAGTGATCCTCCTGCCTTGGCCTCCCAAAGTGCCAGGATTATAGGTGTGAGCCACCACACCTGGCCTTAACCTTTCTTATGCCAGGTCAGGTTGGAGTAAGGAATTGTTGTCATTACTGATTGCTTTTTAGCTTTGGTGGAAATTCTTGGTGAGAATAGACATTGTTGCACTTTCATTCACCCAGCTATTTGAAAATTCTGACTCTCCTGTGTATTTCTAATCTTGTAGGTTTTGGTTATCAGTCTGAACTTGAATTGAGAGTGGCTGAAGCTGCCCGAAGACAATATAACAAACTGAAGATGCAGACCAAGGCAGAAATCCGACAAACTCTTGATCGTTTGTTAGTGGGTGATTTCATTGTAAGTGGGCATACATAAACAATCTCTAGGGTTTGGGGAAGGGGCAGGCATTCTTTTAGTCAAGTCCTCTATCTACTTCTCTGTCTACTATCTACTGTAGATAGGTTTGCTTCTATCAGTTGTACTGATTACATAAACTGAAAATATGAAATCCTTATCATCTGGCATAAAATAAAAGCTCATGTCTTTTACAGTCAAGGTTTAATTTAAAAAATGAATGACTGACCTTGTACCAATCTGGGATTACTTTCAAGACTCATCTTGTTCCATTTTCCAGACCTTATATTTTGTACATGTTTTACCTAAGAGTGTCCCTTTTTTACTTACCGTCATCAGAAGAAAAGCAACTGGGATGATGCTCCAGCTTCTATTGCAGGGTATGATGATGGTCACTTTGTGCTGCCAAGTGACTAGCTGTCCTGAGGACGCTGTAGACAGGGAGAGCCAAGAGACATCTTAACAGTCCAGTAAAAAAAAAGTTTCTCACAATGTGGCCTGGAGATGCACTGCCAAGATATAGCAGCAGGTGGAGCAGTTAGAAAGAGTGTGGCTTCTCTTGGACACTGTAGAGCCAGTTGTAGGTGTCAGGGATGGCAGAAATGTTCAAAGTAAAATGCTTAGGAGATTATAGTATGGGATGGAGAATTAGTCCTGTCTTTTGGTGTATGTGTGGGTGTGTATGTGTTTCAGCACAAAGTATGACAATTAGTATCTTCTTGTTAAACAAAAGAGATTTCTTTTTGATAAAATTTATGTAAATTAGCTTTTGTCAAGTACATACAATTGAGGCAATTTTAGTCATAGGGAAGAACAATTAACAAATTCATTAATTGGTATGTTATTTATATTTCAAATGTTAAAGCTTACATTTTTCACTAAGATATTTTGGCATGAAAGTTCATGGTTACCAATGTCCACGAATAAGTAAAAATATTTGAATTTCTGTGTTTATTTGAATTCTGTAATTTCTACAATACTTTAAAGTATTAAGTGCCATAAATTAGAAACACAGTCTTTCTTAAACCATGGATCATCAAAATCAAAGTACGCACAACCAGGGGCCTGGCATGGTGGCTGACACCTGTAATCCTAGTACTCTGGGAGGCTGAAGCCAGGAGATCGCTTGAGCTCAGGAGTTTGAAACCAGCCTGAGCAAGAATGAGACCCCATCTCTACAAATAGAAAAATTAGCTGGACGTGGTGGTGCACGCCTGTAGTCCCAGCTAATCAGGAGGCTGAGGCAGGAGGATTGCTTGAGCCCAGAAGTTGGAGGCTGCAGTGAGCTATGATGATGCCACAGCATTCTAGCCCAGGAGACAGAGCAAGACCCCATCTCAAAAAAAAAAAAAAAAAGTACAAACAACTGCCCAAATCAGCAATTTGCTAATTTTTCCTCTCCGTTTCAGACATTTGCCTATGGCAATGTCTCAAATCTTCAAGCATTTAAATCTACTTTTGTCTTAGACCTTTTTACTCTAATACCACAGACCAGACCACTAAGTCACTTGGTAATTCTAGCTATGGCTTTCAGAAATGCTCCAGCACCACTGATAAAGCTGTTCAGTTTCAGCAGTACAGTTAGCAATCATTTAATTAAAGTTTCTTTTATTTTTATAGGAGGAGAGTAAACGGTGGACTGTGCGACTAGATATTTCTGCCCCTCAGGTGATATTTCCTGATGATTTCAAATTCAAGAATCCTGTGTTAGTTGTTGTGGATCTAGGAAGAATGCTGTTGACAAATACCCAAGGTATAGTGTGACATGAAGTAATGAAAATTTATCTTGGTAGATCGATCTATCTATGCTTAACTAAGTAAACCTTAACAAAAACTTTATTTATTGATTGATGGATTGCAAGCAGGCAAAGTGCCAAAGTTTATTAAAGCATAGTTCGTTTTGGAGAGGGAGCAGGTCAACCCCCTCGAGTGGAGGATACCAACAAAAAGTTTATAAAACATTTTAAAACTCCAAAATTCACCTTTTATTTTTTAAATAATAGGTTTGTTGATATATAATTCACATTTTTGAAAGTACAGTTCAATTGTTTTTGGTATATTGATAGAATTGTGCTACTTTACTACATTTAATTCCAGAACTTTTTCATCTTCCCTAACTGAGACTCTGTACCCATTAAACACTAACTTCCCTTTCCCCACTTTCCCCAGCCCTGGTAACCACTAATCTTTGTTCTGTCTCTGGATTTGTGTGCTCTGAACATTTCATATAAGTGGAATAATAATATATGGCCTTTTATATCTGACTTTTTCATTTAGCATATTTTCAAGATTCTTTCATGTTGTTGTATCTGTCAGTACTTCTTACCTTTGTATGGCTGAACCCTAGTCCATTACATGGATATACCATTTTGTTTATCCATTCATTTTTTGGTGGACATTTGGGTTATTTCCACTTTTTTGGCTATTATAAATAGTGCTGCTGTGTACAGGTTTTTGAGTAGATGTGTATTTTCAATTTTCCTATGTGTATACCCAGGGGTGGAGTTGCTGGATCATGTGGTAACTCTATTTAATGTTTTTAGGAAGTACCAACTGTTTTCTTAAATGGCTGCACCATTTTATATTCTCATCAGCAGTATACGAAGCTTCCAATTTCTCCACATCTTTGTGAATTTATAAAACATAAATGTGGAACAGAGACATAGGTGATAGAACCCAGTGGTTGTTTTTTTTCTGTGTGTTTTTTTTTTTTTTGTAGTTCCACTGGGGCACCCCAGTGGTGTTACTGTAGTTGTCTCAGCACTGCTCAGCTATAGGGAGAGGGGTTAAGAGTGTGGACTCTGGGGCTAGAAAATCATATACTGAGCAGTTACTGCTCACTAAGCACTGATCTAGGCACTAGGGAGATTGTGTTGAGCAAGACAGATGGGACCACTCTTCTCATGGCACATTCTAGTGGGGGAAACAAATGAACACACAGACAGAGGAAAAAGTCAATACATAATGGTAGAGAGTGATGTAAGGAGTGTTGGTGATAGCAGCTTAAGGCAAGGCAGCCAAGAAGGCGGGAAAGCAACTTTGGGCAGCGGGTGGTGGTTTCCACCCCTTGACCTGTGATCGTATGTCAGTGGGTCTCCAACTTTTATGTCCATTTTGATTTCCAAATCAACAGGAAGAAATGGTAAATACAGAATATTATGCTTAGAGTTTTCATGCTTCTTTTTTTTTTTTTTTTAAGTATTAGGGTTGGTTGATTCTGTACTTTTCGTAATCATTACATTAAGGGAAAGAGGAAGGAAATAGCTGACATATACTTTGAAACTTTTTTTTTCAATCTGCAGATGACTGCAAGAGGAAGGGTGGGGATGAGTCTGCATCTGAAGAGAACCAATTTAGTGATGATGAATATAAGACCCCTCTTGCCACCCCTCCTAACACCCCACCTCCCGAGACAAGCAGCAGCAATGGAGAGAAAACACCTCTGTTTTCTGGCGTTGAGTTCAGTGAAGAACAGCTTCAAGCACACTTAATGAGCACAAAGATGTATGAGAGGTACTCGCTGTCATTTATGGACCTCCAGATCATGGTTGGACGAGTGAAAGACAATTGGAAGCACGTCCAGGATATTGATGTGGGACCAACCCATGTGGTAGAGAAATTCAACGTTCATCTACAGTTAGAACGTCGATTGATTTATACTTCAGATCCCAAGTACCCAGGAGCCGTGCTCTCAGGCAACTTACCGGACTTAAAAATCCACATCAATGAAGATAAAATATCCGCTCTGAAGAATTGTTTTGCTCTCCTCACTACCCCAGAAATGAGGACTTCTGACGTTCAGATTAAAGAGAAGATTTTTCCCCAAGAGGAACAGCGGGGAAGTTTGCAAGACTCAGTAATGAACTTGACCCAGAGCATCGTGATGTTGGAGCAGCATACCCGAGAGGTGCTGGTGGAGTCGCAGCTCCTCTTGGCAGAATTTAAAGTGAACTGTATGCAGCTTGGTGTTGAGAGCAACGGCCGGTACATTTCTGTGCTCAAGGTGTTTGGTACCAACGCTCACTTTGTGAAGAGGCCTTATGATGCTGAAGTCTCCCTAACTGTTCATGGTTTGCTCCTGGTGGATACCATGCAGACATATGGTGCTGATTTTGACCTTTTGATGGCTTCACATAAGAACTTGAGTTTTGATATTCCAACAGGAAGCCTCCGAGATAGCAGGGCCCAGTCTCCTATCTCTGGACCTAACGTGGCCCACTTAACTGATGCAGCTGTACTGAACGAGCAATCAGCTGCTAGTGTTTCACTTGACAAAATTCTCACAAAAGAACAAGAGTCCCTCATTAAATTGGAATATCAATTTGTGAGTTCAGAGTGCCCATCAATGAATTTAGATAGCACTCTTCAAGTGATTTCGTTACAGGTGAATAATTTAGATATTATCCTAAATCCAGAGACAATTGTGGAGCTGATTGGTTTTCTTCAAAAATCCTTTCCCAAGGAAAAAGATGATTTGAGTCCTCAGCCTTTAATGACTGATTTTGAAAGAAGCTTTAGAGAACAAGGAACTTATCAATCCACATATGAACAAAACACTGAGGTTGCAGTGGAAATCCATAGACTTAACTTACTACTCCTTCGGACAGTTGGAATGGCAAATGGAGAGAAATATGGCAGAAAAATTGCAACTGCAAGTATAGGTGGCACCAAAGTTAACGTTTCAATGGGAAGCACGTTTGACATGAATGGTTCTCTTGGCTGTTTGCAGCTTATGGATTTGACACAAGATAATATTAAAAACCAATATGTTGTCAGTATTGGGACTTCTACAGGCTATGAAAATATCGTCAGTGATATTGGCTACTTTGAATCTGTATTTGTCAGAATGGAAGATGCAGCCCTCACTGAAGCTTTGAGCTTCACGTTTGTTGAGAAATCTAAACAGGAGTGTTTTCTCAACCTGAGGATGGCTTCCTTGCATTATAACCACTCTGCTAAATTTTTGAAGGAGTTGACATTATCCATGGATGAACTGGAAGAAAATTTTCGAAGTATGTTGAAAAGTGCAGCCACCAAAGTCACCACAGTACTAGCTACCAAGACTGCTGAGTACAGCGAGATGGTGTCACTCTTTGAAACTCCAAGGAAGACTCGGGAACCCTTTATCTTAGAGGAGAATGAAATATATGGGTTTGGCCTGGCTTCTTCTCATGCAGACACTGTAAAGCTAATCTTGAACATAAACATCGAATCACCAGTTGTTTCTATCCCTCGAAAGCCTGGGAGTCCTGAGTTGTTGGTGGGACACTTGGGACAGATATTCATCCAGAATTTTGTAGCAGGAGATGATGAATCCAGAAGTGACCGTCTGCAGGTGGAAATCAAAGACATCAAACTATATTCTTTGAATTGCACCCAACTAGCCGGCAGAGAAGGTGCTGGGTCTGAAGTAAGCCGGACATTCTGCCCACCTTCTGGGTCTGCCAGTGCCAATAGTCAGGAGGAAGCTCATTTCACCCGACATGATTTCTTTGAATCTTTGCATAGAGGACAAGGTGAGGAGCATAAATCTTTTGTTTCATTTTGTTTTAAGCTTCAAAACCCAACTTATGCAGTACTTTGCATAGTATTACTTTGCAGAAACAACAAAAACCTTTTCTTTTAGAATTATTCTTAGTTAATATTTAAGAAATCAAAATAGAATTTTAATAGAATTTTTTACCTTTTATAGTAAGTTGGTCTATATCCACTCTTCTGTTTAATGCTGTATTTGGCAAAATAAGAATTTTTTTTCCCTAAGTGTTCCTCTTTGAAATTGGGTGCATGCTCATTTACAGAGATGCTTGAGTGGATGAATTTTGTTAAGAGTATTGTTTAATTTGGTCAAATATATCTGATTTTCTTGTTCCTGAGCTGTAGATCTTTCCTAGTTAAATACTGTAGCCCAAGACAGCTCAGGATTTAATGTAAATAGAATATGGAATTTAGTTTGTGGATATTATCTTCTCCTTTTAGTATTCTTCCATCTTCTTCTATAGTGGGTTGGTCGAGGGTGCTTGTGTGTGTATTCTAGGTCTGATTGGCTAAAACTAAACAGTTCATTCTATTAGTCTTGGCATCCACAGAAATCAGGTAAGCCTAGAGTGTGTGGCTTTATTTATTGGTAAAGAAAACAATACCTTTGAAAACTTCTCCTGTGGTTCTCAGATGTTAATTCACTAATTTGCTTAAGTACTTACCAAAAGATTGCTTTCTTTGCTTGGGACAAAAGTTGTTTATTGGATGGGCATGATAGCTCACGCCTGTAGTCCCAGCTACTTGGGAGGCTGAGGCAGGAGGATTACTTGAGCCCAGGAGTTTGAGGTTGCAGTGAGCCATGATGATGCCACTGTACTCTAGCCTGGGTGACAGAGAGAGACCCTGTCTCCAAAAAAAAAAAAAAAAAAAAAAAAGTTGTTTATCCTGGTTACTTGGGAGGCTGAGGTGAGAGGATTGCTTGAGCCCAGGAGTTTGAGACTAGCCTGGGCAACATAGCCAGACCCCATCTAAAAAAAAAAGTTGTTTACTTAGAACTTTCTTTTGTCCTTGATTCTGATTTAGGCCTAAAAAGAGGGACACATCTGTATTTGAAAGGTAGGTAAGGATGAACAATTTGGTTTGGAAAATGCTATCTTGAGAGGCTAAGAGAAGGTTAATACAGTCTCTGGACTGGATTGATGTTCACCACATCATGTTTTGAAGCCACCAAATGGAGCATGTTATGAAAATATTGTTTCTCTTTTTTTGGTGTAAATTTATCTTACATCTTTGCTTGCTGTGAATTTTGGTTTTGAGATAGTCATCAAAGTTTGTTCTCAGTTATAGACCCCAGGTGCCAGGCTAACCTGCTCTCTTGGTCTAAGAGTAACTCATGGGCTCTGCTTTATATACTCTATGCTTACTCAGCAATAGCGAGTAAATATTAGTGTTTACAGTCTGTCATTTCCTCTCTCTTATGCCAGCTTTTCACATCCTGAACAACACCACCATTCAGTTTAAACTGGAGAAGATCCCTATAGAGAGAGAATCTGAGTTGACTTTCTCCCTTAGCCCAGATGACCTGGGAACTTCTAGCATCATGAAGATAGAAGGAAAATTTGTCAATCCAGTTCAGGTAAACACCTAATCAATTTTCATGTCGGGGCAGTTGAAGTCATATATTTATTTTATGTTTATATTATGTAAATATAATGTTATATATTTATGCGTATTAATTGTTGGGAGGAAACTATATAAATTCAAAGAGATATCAATAATGCATTTAACCGTGGTCGATAACTTGGTCCAATAAACATGGAATCCTTTTATTGTGAGGAATCAGTCTTTTTAGCCTTCTTCACGTGGAGGAGAGGTGAGTTGTGTAGAGGAGGAAGGCAGATCCTTAATTTCTTTGCAGTTCCAGAAACGGGGAAATAATTGCTTAAAAAGTCAGAGTCAGGCCGGGCGCGGTGGCTCACGCCTGTAATCCTAGCTCTCTGGGAGGCCGAGGCGGGCGGATTGTTTGAGCTCAGGAGTTCGAGACCAGCCTGAGCAAGAGCGAGACCCCGCCTCCACTAAAAATAGAAAGAAATTAATCGGACAACTAAAAATATATAGAAAAAATTAGCCGGGCATGGTGGCGCATGCCTGTAGTCCCAGCTACTCGGGAGGCTGAGGCAGTAGTAGGATCACTTGAGCCCAGGAGTTTGAGGTTGCTGTGAGCTAGGCTGACGCCATGGCACTCACTCTAGCCCGGGCAACAGAGTGAGACTCTGTCTCAAAAAAAAAAAAAAAAAAACTCTGTCTCAAAAAAAAAAAAAAAAAAAGTCAGAGTCTCCTTTCCCAGGAGGATATAATTCTTGTCACACTTTTGACATACTTGACCCAGCCTATAAAACAATGTGATTATCTGAGCTGTCGACAGATCCTATCAAGGGAGAATTAGTCATGCCCTCTCTGAAATTAAATGGGCTAGGATAGGGATTTCATGTGTGTGTGTGTGTGTGTGTGTGTGTGTGTGTGTACACACGTATACCTTTTATCTTTTTTCCTTCACAAGTATCATTTTTCTGATTTCACAGGGAGTAGAGCAAAGGGCATTACAATATAAAACAACAAGGACAGGAGGGATCTCAGGACAGTGGATCGTAGTCTTGGGCAGTAATTGGTCACTATTCTGTGTCTAGCAGCTGCTCTGGAGTATCTTAGGAGTGCTGTTTACAAAACATGTGTACCTTTTGACATCAGTGGTTCCTTGATATGAGTCTCTGGGAGGGAGAACTTCCCCAGAGATTTCCCTTTTCAGGATAAGCTTTTGCCTCATTTGCAAAATGAGCTACCAGGATGAATTTTTTACCTTAAATTTAGTACATGATGTGAATTCTGTCAGATTATGTTGACTTACTCTGTGGGTACCATTGACTTACTGTTGTTTTGATGAAAATCTTTAAAACATTGTTT